CAAATAAATAAATAAAATCTTTTAAAAAAAAAAAAGTAATTCAGTGTCAGTTTCAAAATCTGACTGGCCCCAGGCCTACTTGGATGTTGTACCTTGAGCCCTGTAAATCACAAAAATTTAAACTGAGTAAATTTGAAGAGCTAATTGGCTTTATTAAATGACTCATGAATCAGGTATCAAGACATCTAACATAGAAAAGAGCTCTGTGGGGCTGCAGAAAAGGAAATGTTTTTAAAGGCAGAAAGGGAGCAGAAAAAAGGAAATTATTAGCAAAGAATGCATTGTTTTTGGCAAGTTCACCCTCCTAAGAGAACAGAAAGGATTTATCAGTAAATTTCCTATTGACTGGTTAAAGGTTACATGGCGGGGAGGGGGGTAAAATTTGGTTAGGTATTAAGTCTTAGTTTGCTGACCCTGGGGCTTTACCATAAGTGACTCTATTTTGCACCTGTAGTTTTCTTTTGAGCCCAGTTTAAAGCAGTGATTTTTACTGTTCTTGAACTGGGGGAGGTGATGGCTAAAGGCCCTTCCAACTCTTAAGGATTCTTTCCCAAAGAAAATACTTTGTTAAATGCTTTGGCAGAACTCAAAAATATCCAGGGAGAGTTACTGACATGAAAAGACGGGTTTAAAAATACTCAGCAGACCATTTCTGATCCCCAGGTGTTCTACCAGGTCTGTACACCTCTCATCTTTGGCGGTAAATCGTGTGTGTGTGTGTGTGTGTGTGTGTTACACACCCTCACTGTTTTCCCCCCTTAACGCACAGCCCATTTTAGGTGGCTGGGGCACTGGGGGGGGGGGCAGAAAGCGACCGCCCCAGCGCTGGCAGAGTTCCAGTGTTCCCATTACACACCTTCGCTGCTCCGAACGCATCCCGAGAAGCTCGGACGGCCTGCGCCTCCAAGCTCTGTTTTTCCGGTTCCCGCCCGGAGTGGATGCGCGTCCACACAGCCCACCTTCATCCCTGCGACACTCCCCATTCCTCCTCCTCCCCCTCCTCCTCCTCCTCTTCTCTCTCTTCTCCTCCCCCCGCCCCAGGTCCTGGCGTCACCCTGGGCGCTGGTCCCGCCCCGTCCCCCATTCTGACCTATCGTGTCCCGCTCCGCTCCCCGCCCCACCGCCTCCGGCCATCCAGGTTCTAAATACCGCCCCCGAATGCTGTCCCCGCCCCAGCTTTCGGGTTAGCCATGGCCGTGGTGGGGCTAAGCGGCCGACTGGCCCGGTGCTATTGCCTGAGAGCGGTCAGGAGGTAAGTGCTGAGCCAGGGGTCCAAGGTCGCCCGTGGGACCCCGGCGTCCAGAGGCGGTCGCCATCCGTGGGAGGTGCCCTCTCTCTTATCTTGTCCCGGTAGCAACAGGGCTTTGCTTTAACGGTTTTCCCGGGAGAGAGTGAAGGCAAGTGTCCTTAAACGCGCGCCCTCTTCTTCGGCTGGGCCCGAAATTGTCCGGATGGACGCGCGGGGGGGCCTGAGCTGCGCTCAGCCCTCACCTCGGGCCACACGCCACCCAGCCCTCGGGTGCACGTCGCCACCCTGGCTGCCGCGAGGTTGCCACCGTAGTTTGCTAAAATGCGGTAGAACATCTAAGCACGCTTGGCTTCTCTGCTGAATGCTGTAGAAACGCAAGCCGTTATCGTCGGGGTGGGGTTAAACTCTTTGCTTCCTGGGGAACACTTCTGTAATGTGAAGTGACGGCATACACAATCTATGTAAAAATTGAGGTGGTGGAGTTATGAATGATTTTCCCGATTTTATATATTAAACGGTAGTGTTCTGTCATTTTTTTTAAAACTCACTTTACTTTTGTGAGAACTTGCACATTGAGGCCTTCTAATAGACATTTTGTTTTCCTTTCGTTTTCTGTTTGGAACTTCACATGCATCACATAGGATGCAGAGTTTTTCCCTTTTTGGAAAGAAACGAATTCAGTTACTTAATATAAAAATTATTGAAGACTTTATTGAATTACTAGTATTTCAGAGTTTGAACCTAGGGTTCTTTTTTTTTTTTTTTAAGATTTTATTTATTTATTTGACACAGAGTGAGAGAGCATAAGCAGGGGGAGTGGCAGGCAGGCAGAGGGAGAAGCAGGCTCTCCACTGAGCAAGGAGCCCGATGCAGGACTTGATCCCAGGACCCTGGGATCATGACCTGAGCCAAAGGCAGCCGCTTAACCAACTGAGCCACGCAGGCGCCCCGAACCTAGGGTTCTTTATTGTCTTTGAAAGGCATATTATTGCAGAGGAAGTGATACATCAGGTGTGGGCGTTATTAAAACTGTATTATTTTAATCATCTTTGATCCCATTAACTTTTAACTTTATATGCCAGGGTCATCATTGTGAACATCAGTTTTTTGCTTGTGTTCCCAGTACTGTGCACTGAAATTTTCTCTTCCTCTGCCTACTAAACACTGTACCTGGTTGTGCTTGCTGTTTCTGGTCTCCTCCTAGCTGGCTGGTTCAGCTTCCTGGGGTGAGTATTTAGTTATGTCTGTTCAGGGCAGCTTCACAGACTAGCAGCCACAGGGTTTAGATTTTGCCTGGGTAGGTCCCCCACCTACTAGGAAGTGGCTCTTTGTCTGGAATGCCAACAACAGCTCATCCGTCTTTTTGAACATTTCTTGTATCCTAACCCATTCTCCCCTCCTTCTGATGTGGGAAACAAAGGCAGAAGAAAAATTAAATTTCCTTACCACTTACAGCCCACTGACAAGTCCTTGAAACAGGCGGAGTGACCTTCCTCTAGGAACTCAGCTGCCTGGATGTTAATATTTTGCTAAGGGCAAAAGGCAATCTTAGCCCCACCCCCAGGGTCCTGTTAGTCTACTTTAACATATAAAAATTCCTTTGGAAATGTCCTTTATCTCTACCCCCCAAGATACGTGTTGACAATCACCCCCCAAGCTTATGACTCACAGATATACATCTGAAGGGTCTCATGACTAAGGTTTTATTAGACAGTAGTAAATGACCTTTCCCTAACAATAGATAGCCCCTTCAAGGTCCTGGAAACCTTGCTTCCAAAATTCCTTAGAGACTTAGGCTACCCCTAACCCCCTCCCAACTTGAAAGTGTATAATCAGCCATCCTCTTGACCCACGGGTCGTGTCCCCATGCTTTAATAAAACCACCTTTATGCACTAAAGACGTCTCAAGAATTCTTTCTTGGCTGTAGGCCCTGAATCCCACCTTCTTTCCTATATCACTTCCACCTGTATGTCGGGACACACATTTTGCTGAACAGAAAGGATTGACCTGATAATAGTTTATACTTTGTTAACCATCAGTGAGGGCAGACAGGATTTCTGGCCCTTAGGACACAAAGGACCAAATTCTGTACAGCTGACCTCTTCAGGCTCAGTCTCCTGCTCACTTCCATTTCGCAGTGCTTTTCATTTACTTTCTTGCCTGTGGCAAAATTTACATGGCCATTCAGGTACTCGCTGCTTTTATCAGTAATTTGAATTGCTACAAATGCTGTGCTGGATTGTAACTTCCTTTTCCTTTATTTTAAGATTACTACAGTTAGCCTCTGTATTGATTTTTTTTTGAGCGGGGGATCATTTTGAAAACCACTGTTGGGAAGGAAGAGATTTATTCTGCCCTTCAAGGTCCTTCTAGCTGGATTAAGAATCAAATTGACAGAGACAGATCAACGGGAGAAAATCAAATTTAGTTTCATACATATGGGGAATCCACATAGACATGAAATTCCAAAGATGGGCAGCAGGTGGCTTACATGACTTATATTTTGAAGCTTATATTCTGAGCTAAGGAGAGGGGTTAGGAGTCTGAGGATACAAAGTGGAGGAAGACCATTAGCAGGAAGGTGAGAGGAGATCTTGGGAAAACAAAGATTGTCCCATTACACAAATAAGTTTCTTGGATAAAGGGGAATCTCTGTTAATGGCACTGTTCCTAGTACAAGCTCTTCTTTCCAATGTAAACCTAAGCAGTTGGTGGGGAGTCAGAGAGCTTTTCCTGCATCTGCTGGGCTTTGCTCGCTTTTAACTCAAAATATTGCTCATGCCAACATGGCCCATCTTGGGGCTGTTTGCCCTTGGCCCCTACACCACTAACCATTTGCAGCCAGCTTGTATAGGGGCAGGTATAGAGAACATATTTCAGGAGAAACAGAGCATTTTGGTATGTAAGGACTGGCAGCAATTAGAAATCAGTCTGCCTGTTTGCAGTTCCCTGCGGGTCCCAGCACTTCAGCTGCACGTGAGCAAAACAGCAATGGGAGCCAGTCAGAAGGATTTTGAGAGTGCAGTCAATCAGGTGAAGCTGTTGAAGAAGGACCCAGGAAATGAAGTGAAGCTCAAACTCTATGCGCTCTATAAGCAGGTAAATGCCTGAGGTCTGACGTAATTTAGAGACATTTTGAGCAGAAGGCTCCTCAGACAGATCTGCCGTGTGTTTTACTGAAATGCAGCTTTCATATTTTTAGGGTTTGTATTACTGCCTTTCCTCTGAAGAGTGTCTACATGAGAGTTTTTGTACATTAGTCTTTGCAGTACCGTTAAGGCAAAAAGTAATGTATCAGGATCACTCTGGAGTCAGAGAGACTTAAAAGAGATAACCACCAAAGGCTTCTGATTAGAAAAAATCAACTGAAAAAAATTTTTTGAGACCACTGGGGAAATCTGAATGTGGACTGAGTATTAGGTGATACCTAGGAGTTATTATTAATGGCACCATGGTTATATAAGAAAATGTTGATGTTCTTTAGGAATGCACACTAAATATGTAGGGGTGAGATAGCATGGCGTTTGGGGTTCACCAAAATGAGCAAAAAAAAAAAAAAAAGAAGGAAGGAAGGGGAAGGGAAGGAATGGACAAAGCAAGTATGGCCAAAAAAATAGTTACTGAGTTAGGTCGAGTATTGGGAATTCATTATAATATTCTACTTTTCTACATGTTTGAAAATTTGTATAACAAAAATTTAAAACTAAAATTTTTAAGTTGTGATGTCTAAAGACAACCTTGGGAAGTCAGCTGGTTTGGGGCTCCTGTGTGTGATCTATTTTCCTCTTCCCGTGATCGGTACCAGCCTCCCTTAGTGTCCTATGGGTGTGTACAGTGAAGAATTTGACATTTCAGAAAGAGGCCAGGACTTTGCCCTTGACTTCTGGGAGGTAATCCCTAAGCCCTCAAAAGATCATGCCTGCTAAGGAGTGTCTTTGTCGGCCTGAGAGTCTAACAATGTGATTTCGAGTCAGGGCTCCTGGCTGCATATTCAGTCATGCCTACACCATGAGCCCCATACGAGAACTCTGAACACCAGGGCTTGAGTGAGTTTCCCTGGTGGGCAGTACTCCCTGTGCATTATTACACATCTATTCTGGGAGAAGTATTGTTTCCTGACTCCAGGCTGGGTTGGGGAAGGAGGCTTGTGGACCGTGTTGCCTCTCACTTCCCTCTTGCAGGGTGACTGGTGTCTCTTTGTCTTTGGAAAGTCTAAGCCTCCTCCACTGCCTTTGTTTCTCAAAGCCTCTTTCTTCTTTCCTCTTTTAGCTAATTATAGGATTTGAAGTTTTTACATGTGGCTGTGTAAGTGGCATGGGATACTCATCTCAAAACACTCACTCCACCTACTCTCAAACAAGTAAAATTTAGTTGTTTTTATGTTTCCTATTTACATGGCCTTCATTTAAGTTTCCAGAAGGCCGGTGGCTTTGACACCCTCCTATCCCTGCTACCCCAAGTAGGACTCTGTTCAGTTGGCAGAAATCCACCACTGAATTAAGTGGTATTTTTTGTATCTTTGAGTGAGCTTTCAGAATATACAGTAGGTTTCCAAATGTTTGTTGGCTGGTTACTTTTGAAGATGGTTTGCGTGAATATTTTGATTGTGTGTGAAAAATGGGATCATCAGTATAAAACTAATGAACTATTAGACGTTTTTAAAAAGTACTTTGCCAAAACCCTTGCCTTGCATTGTTTTCATAAGCAGGCATTTATAACTTACTTTAGGGACTGATAGCTGATGGCACATTTTGTTTCTCCAGTCTTTTTTCTGTTGTGTATTTTTACCTGCAGCATCAAAGACAGTGCAAGGGGAAGGTTAAGATGAATTTATGTATCTTCTAAAAGTGTTTGGGAGGGGAAGGCGCATTCACGCTAGTTGTCCATTTTATGGATCTTAAATATTTGACACTCCAATTTGCATGGACATTTGACTGATAATTGCCCCTCTCCTCTTCACAGGCCACTGAAGGGCCTTGTAATACACCTAAACCAGGTCTGTTCGACTTGATCAATAAGGCCAAATGGGATGCATGGAATGCTCTTGGCGATCTGCCCAAGGTAAATTTACTTGCTACTTGGCTTTTATTTTAGTTACTACTTTGCTTTTATTTTACTTGCTATATTCCTGAAGGAAGATGAGTGCTTCTCATTATTAAACCATTGTAGATGGAACCTGTGAGATCTGGTTGGATTCTGTTGAATCAGACCTCTCTAGTTTCTTCATTGCAAGGTGCCATTTCTTAGCGTCGTAAGTTTCGCGAAGTGCTTATTTGTTGACCATGGGCTGCAGTTATTTGTCATCTTCTCTTCAGGAAACTGCTAGGCAGAACTATGTGGATTTGGTGTCTGGTTTGAGGTCTTCATCTGACTCCTCTAGCCAAGTGAAGCCTGAAGCAGACAAAAAACAAGCTGGGTATGAAACGCTGGTGATCACCTCTGAAGACCACATCACAAAGATCATGTTGAACCGTCCCGCCAAAAAGAATGCACTGAACACACAGGTAACATGACCTGCCCTGGGAGTTTGTCCTGCTTTTCTTTCCTCCCTCTGTCTGTTTCACTGAACAGCTAGAATGTTTCAGCATCATTGCTATTTTTGTGATCTCTTGTTTGATTTGTGCAAGAGGATTAGTAATGGTGCCTACTTCTTTATACAACTGAGTTGGGCATTTGTTATTTAGAATTTGTTGGCTTTGGGGCGCCTGGGTGGCTCAGTCGTTAAGCGTCTGCCTTCGGCTCAGGTCATGGTCCCAGGGTCCTGGGATCGAGTCCCACATCGGGCTCCCTGCTCCATGGGAAGCCTGCTTCTCCCTCTCCCACTCCCCCTGCTTCTGTTCCTGCTCTCGCTATCTCTCTCTCTGTCAAATAAATAAATAAAATCTTTAAAAAAAAAAAAATTATAGAATTTGTTGGCTTTGGGTAGGTTCTGTGTGCCCAAAAAAGCACTGCAACTTTCCTAATGATGGAAGCACAAATAAATTAAATTAATACAAATGAAACATACATTGATATAAGAGAATAGGTGTAGAGGTTCTCCAAGGTTGATATAGACCGGATTCCCCAGACTTTGCTCATGTCACTTAGACTTGAGAGTGAGTACTGTTCAAGTTGCATGGGCCTTTATTTATATAAGTAGAGGGAGAAAGGAAAGAAGACCTTCATCTTAAATATAGCATAACCCAGCTCTGCTTCAAATGAGCCGCCTGACAGGAGCTCCTTTGACCTTTGAGTCTTTCATTGAACTAGAATGATAATAAAAATAACCACTTCTACCTCTTCCCCTTGAAAAATATAGGGAATTAATTGGATGCTTGGTGCTGAACTGCAAGTATTTTGAGGGGCTAAAACCCTTTCCATTGGGTTTATCATCTACATTGTAGCAGAAAGAGCGTGATCACTTAAAATGGTGTTAAATAAGAATTCCATGGAGTTGGATATGTGCCATTGACTTAGTAAAACATTTGATCCTCAAAATTTCATTGCCCTTGCCTTATTTCTGTGTAATCACGGTGATGATGATGATGATGGTGATGATGATGGTGATGATGATGATGATGATGATGATGGTGGGATGATGGTGGTGATGATGGTGGTGGTGATGGTGATGATGATGGTGGTGCTGATGGTGATGATGGTGGTGATGATGGTGGTGGTGCTGATGGTGATGATGATGGTGGTGGTGATGATGGTGATGGTGATGGTGGTGATGATGGTGGTGGTGATGGTGGTGGTGATGGTGATGATGGTGATGATGGTGGTGGTGATGGTTATGATGGTGATGATGGTG